ATTTTTCTGGAGAAAAGCTATCAATTTCTTCATAAATTTTTTTTAATGTTTATTTTTGGGAGAGAGAGAGAGAGAACATAAGTGGGGGAGAGACAGAGAGAGAGGGAGACACAGAATCTGAAGCAGGCTCCAGGCTCTGAGCTGTCAGCACAGAGCCCAATGTGGGGCTCGAACTCATGAACCATGAAATCATGACCTGAGCTGAAGTCAGATGCTAAACCAACTGAGCCACCCAGGCACCCCCGTTTCTTCTTATTTTTTTAATGTTTATCTTTGAGAAAGCATGAGCAAGGGAGAGGTAGAGAAAGGGGAATAAAAGAACTGAAGCAGCTCTGAGCTGACAGCAGCAAACCTGATGTGGGGCTCAAACTTACAAACTGTGAGATCATAATCTGAGCCGAAGTCGGATGTTCAACCAACTGAGCCACCCAGATAGCCTGAAAAGCCATCATTTTCATCAGATTCTCACCTAGCCAGTGATCCAAAGAAGTTAGAAAGATCTAACTTAGTCACAGAAGCACCAGGAAATGGATAGGACTGTCTAGAAGGAGTGGATAAGAAAGTCTAAGGCAGGTGGCAGGACATTTAAGGGATCTAGTGTAGACCACACCTCTTGAGATGGGTCAGCCTGCAGAGTCTGTTCAAGGTAAGTCTGGTGAGTGCCTTATGTAGAGCCTTGGCCAGGGAGGCAGGAACTGACTAGAACTCCCGCCCTTTTATCAGCTCTACCCCTCCCTCCACCATGGCACAGGTGCTCCGACATTTCTCGCCACCCTGACGCCTTCAGTGTTTGCTGGAGCTAGAGATAGTGCTTGAGGTGCCACAACAGTCAAGTTGAGGAGCAGTTAGCTCACGAGGTGGTGGAGGCCCGCCCTGGGCAAACAAATCCCCTGCAGCCTCCATGTAGGTACCTGGGAAAGGGTGGTGTGTGAGAGACGGTAAGGTTGTGAAGGTGGGGAGAGGGACTAGTTGCTCTCCCTGCCCAGCCCCCCAGCAGGCTCCTGATCTGGACCTGGGACTAGCTCTCAGGCACTGTGTGGTTCTCTCCAGGTTGCTGTTCCTTCGCGGGCTCAGCAAGGGGTAATAGTTCTGGACTGCCCTAGGAAAACCAGGTGGGGAGTAAGGAGGACTGGTTTGCTAGTCTGGGTTTTGCTGGCTGTAGCCTTCCTCCTTAGTGTTGTCCGTCCTGTTTCAGCAGCAATCAGATCTATGTCTGGGATATTCTGGCCTTCAGGTAAATTGGACTCCACATCAGCCAGGACCCCACCAGACTCTGGAGTCAGACAGTCTGGGCCCAAGTCAAGGCTGAGCCCTTCAGGGAAGGTTGTGGACGTGGAACAAGTCACTTGGCCTTTCTAGGCACAGTTTCTAGAGGTTGGGGGTGGTTAAGATTAAGAGATCAGATCTGTAGAGTCCCAGAGGCAAGCCAAGACCAAAATAAACAAAGTTCTTTCTAAAATCCCCAAGGCAAGGACAGGTATGGGCTTTGCCTGAGTGAGAAGGGTAGGCAGCTTGGATCCTCTGATGGGGGCTTCTGGAGGGATTCCAGAGCCTAAGAAGTGACCCTCCCATTGCCTTGGCAGTATTTCTTGTCTCTCCACCCCCACCTGGGCACAGGCTTGTTATTTTCATAGCTTTCCAGTCCACTGCCCCCACCCAGGAGGGGGTAGTTTCAGGTCAAAGTCCTCCCACATTATGGGAAGGCAGACTGGCCCAGCCCCCAGTTCCTCCCGGAGTGCCCTCTTGATCATCCCTGTTAGGCTCCCTCCCAGGCCTGGAATCCAAATGAAGGGGGAAAATAGGCATCTACCTCCACCCTTGTGACCTTTCCAGGGGCCTTCTGAGTCACCAGCCCCATAGGAATCTGAGGCCAAGTGAGGCAAGATGGGCCTGCCTCTCCAAGGATACGCGAAAAGAGTTCCAAACGGAGACATTTTAATTGGGTTATGAGTTCTGAAGGGCCTTCTACACATCCGCCTCGTGACTGCTGATTTTGCATGTGTCCATGTTTTAGGGTGCCTTTCTCTCATCCCGCAGCGGGGCTGCTGGGATCACTGAGAGCCCCATTGGCTTGAAAGGGTGTCAAGGGTTTAAGGGACAGACTGGAAGTATGGGCAGGACAACTGACTGCCTTAGAGGTTCTGACCCCAACCCCACCATTGGAAGGAAAACTCAGGCACAGCCGGAAGGGGGTGGTCCCCTATTTGGCCCCAAGTCCAGAGCAGCAAGGCTGGGCCCACTCTGGCCCAAATGAAACTGTTAGATCCTGTCCTCAGCCCAAACACTGCCGCTTGACAGTGCCAGGATGCCTCTTCCCAGTTCTTATGTGGCAGCAGCAGTGGCGGAGGCAGAAGCAGACTTACTTCAAATTGCAGTACAGATACATGGACACGATCATGGCTGCCAGCTGGTGGGAAAGGAATAGGTAGAGATAAGGGATATGATCAGGGTCCTTGCGCTTCAGTCCCCTGCCTCCCAGACACTCTACATGAAGCTCTGTTAGAAGTCTGTCTCCTTCTGCAAGGCCTCCAAGATGGGTCAAGCACCCTGATCCAGTGGGGATATCCTGCCCCAACCTCCTCATGCCCCTTACCTCCAAACCCCCAATTCCAGCTGCCACAGCACCCACAGTGACTGCGTTGGTTCGGATGTCATACAGAAGCTGACTGAAGCAGCCCTTGGAGGAGGGAAGAGAGGGGCTATAGTCAGCAGCTGCACCCCTCCCTCATTCAGCACTTTGAGGACATTAAAGCAGCCCCCAACCTTCCATACCACACCTGTACAATGTTGTCATCAGCCTTCTCCTTGGTGCAGGGTTCTGTGGCTGTGCCATTGCCATCGTCAAGGCAACAGTATGGGGGAAAGGTATGGTTCTTCATGAAGTAGGGAGAGCCCTCAAAATCCGTGTAGTTGTTAAAGCCACAGCACTTGAGCTGGAAATGAGGAGGGAAGGGTGGTCAGTGGGGCCTCGTTTTTTCTCCCCACTCCAAAATCTCCCCCAGCCCACCTTACCCCTTCCATGGTGGTGTTCCACACTTGGGTGAAGTCCTTCTGAGAACCATAGTCTTCCTTGATGGTAGGCACTACCAGCAACGTCAGGAAGTGCTCAGCCTGGATGGGGCAGGTCAATGCTTAGGGCCTGGTAGGGAAGGCGGCCATTCACAGGCCACAGCCCACTTGCAGGGTTTTTCCCGATCTTTCCCCCTTGCCCCATCCCCACTCCTCACCATGGTGGTATACACCAAGGCAACTACAGCAGCTGCAACCTCAGCGATGAAGATGATGAGGAGGATCAAGAAGAACTGAATGGGGAACAGAGGTCTGAATTTTAGAGACAGTCCCTCCTGCCTCACTTATTGTAACCCACCACCCATTAAAACAAGGCAGTTGCCCCCTCTGCTGAGGCCTCTGGAGTCCAGAGCACGGTTTGGGGATCCCCAGAGCCTGGTGTCAAGGGTGAGGGGGCCCCGGGTCTCGGTTATGGGCCTATGGAGCTGGGTTTGACACACCATCATGAGGGCACACTTGTTCTCAGTCTGAGCACCGTAGCAGCCCAGGAAACCAAGAGCAAAGAGCACAGCACCAGCTGCGATGAGGAAGTAGCCCACGTTGACAAACTGCATGGCACTGGATGACAGCGGCCCGAAGATCTTCAGGAAGGATGACCCATCGACGGACACCCAGATGCCCACTGCCAACAGGGCAACGCCACACAGCTGGGGACAGAGAGGCAGACCATAAAACAGTGCGGGCAAGCAGCTCCTTACCATGCAGTTGAGTCAGGAAGATGAGAAATGAGAAAGTTTCTCCCTTTATTGGCTAAGGAGTCTTAAAAACTCATCCTGCACGGAGGAAAATATTCTGTAGAGCCAGAAAAATGGGAGCTGGGCCACCCATAGCCAGCACCTATGCAGATATAAATGGGATCAGGGGTTCCAGAAATATCTACAGGATGGGAGAAGGGCAAGACTTTTCCTCACTGCTGTCAGGGTCAAGCCACATAGCTAGGAGTGAAAACAAGCAGGTGAGGGCAGCAGGGTACCCCCCACCCCCACCCCACCCCATTTCCTTGCAGAGTGAAACGCCTCTGTCTTCTGATAGGTGAAACAGTGGGGTTGTAGCTTGAACAGGCTCAACAGTCACCATGGCAACAGAGGTGGGGCTGAGGTTTACACCTGCTTCCATCCTTGGAGAGGGACTCGGGGAGAAGGGACACCTACCTTGAGGCCCCATTTGGCCCCTCTCCAGGATCAAACTCCAGGCCTGCCCTTCAACTAACCTAGACCTCTCTTTGCCTCACAGGAAAACTGAGGCACCAGAGGGGGAGTACAGCCAGGGTTTCTTTTAGAGGCTCTCTCTTGCTCAACCCCAAACCTCAGGGGATTCTGAGGCCCAGACTGGGCAGGAGGTACACTGTCCAGATGCCACACCTCTTAGAGCAAAGCCACCCTGATCCAGAGTATCAGCAGATGAATCAGCCTGACATCACCTTGGTGCCCAGCTATAGAAACTGAGGCTAGAACCAGGTGGCAGATTGTGGCTGGATCCCAGGCATGTTTGCCCAAGGACAGAGAGCTGGGCTCCCAGCCTATAAGGGTCAAATTTCAAGGAGGTTGAGACCTGCCCTGCCCTGCCCTGCCCAGCCTGGCAAAGCCTGACCAACAGAGGCCAGAAACCAAACCGGATTTGCCTTTAACCCCCTCGGACCGGAGCCCCTACTATCTCCATATTGCTGGGATCCCTTTGCCTTCTCCAGATATATGGATAAAGGCTAGTGCCCTGAAGCTAAAAGAAGCCCAAGGCATGGACCATATTGGAGTCAGGTTATTCACCTCTAGCCCAATTTCTCCAAAAATCCATCTACACTTCCTGTCTCTACTTCCTCACTTTTCACTGACTCTAAGCCACTCTAGTGTGGCTCCAAGGTCTGTGGTGCCATGCTGTGCTAAATCTAGTGGACACCTCATGTGCCATGCCCTTCTGATCTCTCTGAGATTGTGCTCTCCTTGATTCCTTTCCACTGCTCTTTCTCTATCTGCTTCCTGGTGGCGTTTCTCCACATAATCCTTGCAAGTTGGGTTTCTCAGAGGTCACTCTGCCTGAGTGCTGTTACCCACTCAGTGGCTTCACTGACCATTTGTGGTCACATGACTTCCAAATATCCATGTCCAGCTCCAACCAGAGCTGCAGCCCCATTGGGTATGCAGCTGCCTGTGGGACATCCCCCAGGTTGCTCATACCAGAGCCACAGACATTACCTCCAAAACCTCTGTCTGCCTTGCCCCCCTTCTGCCCCTTGGCCACCATCTGAGGCCTTTGTCTTTGTCCATTTCTCCCCATCTCCACCACCATCTCCAGGGTTCACGCCTCATTACTCAGCTTCCTCAAACATGCCCTATACAATCTGTTCCTGGTTTTCTGAACAATATCCGATTTCATTGCCTCTGGGTCTTTTTGCATGCTTTACAACCTCCTCACCCAGTGCAAATTCCCCGCTTCACCTATTTCCTCCAGATAGTCTTCTCTGACCAGGGTTCAGGCCCTTCCTGTGGGCTCCCATAGCCCCTCTGCTAAGGCCAGACACAGTACGTTGCCACCGTCTGCCTATCTGCTTTGCTGGATCTGAGATCCTCAAGGGCAGAGAAAGGGCTTGCTCACCTTTCACCCCAGCACTTAGCACAGTCTTAGCACATAAATGTTTCTTGAATGAATAAAGACTGCTTGAGGTTTGTTGAATGAATAAAGGCTGCTTGAGGCCGACTCTCTGCTCTGAGGTCTTCAGGCATTTCTCCTTTCAGCTGCCTGTCCTACAGAGGCCACTGAATTTCCTTGATCACTAGGTAAGCTTGGGCAAACCTCTTCCTCTCACTGGGCCCCCAGTCCCTATAAAAGGGGACAATCGCTCCTGTTAGCCTACACTGCCCTGCGCTAAATCTGGGCTGAAGCTTCCTAGAAGGGAGGACTTTCTCCTACACTTCTCCTCCCCAACTTGTGTAGCAGCCAGGCTGCTCCTGAGACCAGGACTCGGCATTTGGGGAGAATTCTGCACCCTATCATAATGGGAAATCTGTACCACAGAGTCTGGACACAGCAGTGTCCTATTTCCCAGCTTGGGCTCTGCTTAGGTTGTGACCCACTCTTATAGGGAGCCCCAAAGAGCCCACAACCCCCATACTTACAAAGATGAGGAAATTGAAGAGGGTCATCATGGTTTTAATGAAGCTGAAGCACTGCATGGTGGCTCCTGAGAGGCAGACAAGTGTGAGTTAGGAATTAGTGCCACGTGCCTCCACTGGCCCCTGGACTGGCTCTGCCATTTGGACCCTGACATAGCAGACTCCAGCATCCAGGACCCATAAATCACCAAAATTCCCCTGAATCTAGACTCTGACACCTCAGGACTTTTCCCAAATCCTCCTGACACCCCTACCTCTTTGTACTGCCCCAGACCTCTACCAGCACCTGACATTCTGAGATACTAACACCCCAGGTTTCCCCGCTGGCGCCCCAAACCTAGCCCCCACACTACAGATTACTTCATGCCCTTCCTTGGCACCACTATGTCCTGGACCTCTCTCCCAACCCAGCCCTAGACTCTTTCCGGACCCTCCCCATTGGCCTCCCAGCTTCCCAAACCTGTTTACAGGTTGATTTCACTTTATAGGATAATCCCTATCCTATACCATCACCTGTTCAGGGCTCTTGGTAGTGAGTTCTGAAAGAAGAATCTGCTGAGGCTCCAGAGGGGACAGGCAACTCCAGGGAATTGCCACTTGAGTGGGCAGGCAGTGAGACGGGGCTGGCTCTCACACACCACTGCTCACCTGTAGGCGGGGCAGGGCTTTTCAAGGCCTCCTCCTCTGCTTGCCTTCCCGTCTGCCCCACCCAGCAGTCACTCAGCCTCCTCTTGCCCTGCTGCCCCCTGCTGCCTGGAGATCTGTCCCCACAGCCACTGGAGCAGCGGGCCTCGTCGGCCTGGCAACACCAACCGCAGCAACACCTTTCCTGATCTGAAGGAAGAGAAATCTGAGGGTAAACAAGCAGCTCACAGAATTTCTGGGTGCCCTCCACCACCACCGGGCACATATGCTTCTTAGCCCACATCTGCTGATACATTCATACACCCTGTGTGCTCACAGGCACGCATACCTCTGCCCAAGCTGCCATTTGTATACACACACAGAGATATGTACATAAACACCTACTAGTTCTCGTGAGCGTGCACACAAACACATGCATACACACATACTCTGACCTATGTGTGGACGGATCCCCAGCAACTAAGAAACAACAAAGCAACATCTGAGGTACATTCTTAAAGTCTCTCTGTCTCTCTGTGTTTCTTTGTCTCTGTTTCTCACACACACACACTCAAGCACATCTACACTTTCAAGGAAATGGCCAAGGTATAGTAGCTTCTGCCCCCTCTTCTGAGCAGCAAATGACTCCTAGTCCTTTTCCCTCTGCAATATCTCAATTTCCCCATCTTTCTCCTCCCTTCTTTCCTCCGTACTCGGCTCCCTTCCCATCCTTTCTCTTGCTCCCCCCCCCCCCCCCCCCCCCCCCCCGCCGCGATCCAGTATTCTAAGCAATCTGCGTTTAGCACCCCTTTCCTTTCTGCCAGCAGGTGGCACCGTGGTCTCACAAAAACATCACCCCAATTTGAAGGCTCAGCAATCCCGTTCTACAAAAATCCCTCAGGGTTTAATTTGAACTCCTGCCTGCCTCTTTCCCCTGCTGGTCCTACTTTCCACTCTAATGCTGCCGCCCGACATTGAGGTGCTGGGGAAGTTCTGGCCTTGGAATCACTCAGACCAGGTACTCCAATGCTGGTTCTACTGCTTCTTAGCTGTGCAACCCCAGGGACATTTCTTAGACTCGTTTATTTTTCTTTTTCTTTTTAAAATTTATTTTGAGAGAGAGAGGGAGAGGGAAAGCATGGGAGAGGAGCAAAGAGAGAATCACAGGTAGGTTCCATGCTATCAGCACAGAGCCAGACATGGGGCTTAATACTGTGAGACCATGATCTGAGCCAAAATCAAGAGGTAGACACTTGACCTACTGAGCCACCCAGGCGCCCCTTCTTAGACTCAGTTTCAAGCCTCTGTGTCCTGGTCTGTATAACAGAATAGTTATATAGAGTTTTAAAATAAGATTTCTCACCACTCTGGGACAAATGAGAATGACCACAGAGTGGGAGGTCAGAGTGGGAAGAGTCATCACCAGAGGGGGTATGAGTTGGATGAAGTGGACTTTTAAAATTTTTTAAAAATTTGAATATAGTTGACACTTTGTTTTGTTTTTTTATAATGGGAGGAAGCAGTGAAGAAACAGGGGAGAGAGGAGGGCTGATGACACTAATAGTTGTGTAGATCGTGTTTTAAATGCATTACATATATAGTTTTTTTTCCCCTCTTCACAACCATTCTATGAGATAGATTCTCTTTTATCCCCTTTTTAAATACGGGGAAACAGAGGCACAGAAGGTTAGGCACTTGCCGTGATCACACAGCTCATAAGTGGCAGAGCCAGGATTCAACCCTAGTCAGCCTGGTGCCAGAGTCTGTATCTTAACCACCAAGCAGACTGTCTATATTGATAGAATCTCTGAGAAGGCAGGAAGAGCTGATGTCCAGAAAGAGCAGAGGAAGAGGCCTTGGTCTGGGACTTGAGGAAGAAGGCCAAGGACAAAGTGGGTTTATGGGTGTAGTGGCTAGAAGTTGATGGGAGAAAGGTCCATTTTCTAAGACTGAGGATAGCAAGAGAAGAGGCTAGAGGGGGAGTAGGTAGGTGTGAGGCTGTATAGGGTGGTGCTGAGGACCCTAAAATCTGCTGGCAGGCTCCTGCAGGAACAGAGAAAAGGCAGAGGCTGGGAAGGAGGACTAGAGGTGAAATAGGAGGGAAAGAGAGTGTGGAGGGAGAAAGGACAAGTCCATAGTCCCACAACAACTCAGTGCAAGGCCTGGCAGAACCATTGACAACACTGTCACCTACAAGAAAGGAAATAAACCCCGGGTTGATGCAACTTACATCCCCTGGGGACCTAGCTGTTCCTCCACCTGCACTGATTATCCACATGGCTTTCTCTTCTCACTCAAGAAGAATTGGGGCCGTGTCACCTCCATCTACATCCCCAGAGCCCAGCACATATGAAGTTGTTAGTGAACATCTCCTCCTGGATGATTAAATGAATAAATGAGTGCAGAACAGCAAGAGTTAACTGTCTGGGCTTTGGGCCCTAGAGCCATCATGGATTTGAACCCCTCCCAGTCTCTAATTGTGTGACCTCACCTAACTGAGCCTCAGTTTCCTTATACAGTCGATCCTCATTATTCATGGCTTCCATATCTGTGAATTTGCCTACTCACTAAAATTCATCTGTAACCCCAAACCAATACTCGTGTCACTTTGGTGGTCATTCATGGACATTTGTAAAAATTTTGAGCTGCCTCATTCTCTTATTCTCAGCTGAGGTTGAACAAGAGGATACTCTACCTTCTTGTTTCACCTCTTATAATATAAACACATGTTCTTCTTGTGGGCTATTTAGTGTCACATTTTATGCATTTCTGTGCTTTTTGTTGATGATTTTGCCATTTATCAAATAATGCTGAAGTGTTGTCTAGTGTTGCTAAGCACAAGAAGCCTGTGATGTGCCTTACAGAGGACATATGATATAGTGGTGTTGGCTATGAGTTCAATGTTAATGACTCAACAGTATATTTTAAATTAGGAACCTTTTTTTTTTAAGTTTATTTATTTATTTTGAGAGAAAGAGAGAGAGAGAGAGTGTGCACAAGCTGGGGTGGGGCAGAGAGAGGGAGAGACAGAATCCCAAGCAGGCTCTGAACCATCAGCGCAGAGCCCAATGTGGGGGCTTGAACTCACAAACTGAGATCATGACCTGAGCGGAGCTCAAGAGTCGGGACACTTAACCGACTGTGCCACCCAGGCACCCCTAAATTAGGTGTCTTTAAACAGAAACACATAAAACAAGGTCATGTTCTGATTGATCAGTTGACGAAAAAATTGTGACCAGAGACTGGTAGGAATCTAACCCTGTAGATGCATTGGCTCAATTTACTAATGCACTATTTGTGGTGATGACTTTATTAACTACTATGAATAATGAGAATCGACTGTATATGAAATAGGAATAATGATAGAGTCTAAACTTTGTGGGATTAAAGAGATAGTGTTTGTAAAGTACTCAGTACTGTTTGACACACAGTAAATGCTTAATAAATATTGTTAATATTGTTAATGCGGATAAATGAGAAAGTGAGGGAGTAATTTCCCCTACTCAGAGTTCCTTTTCCCTAGGGGCCAAGCTGAGGTTTTCTGGCCCTTGGGCTGGACCCGTGGAGAGAATTGTGAGGAAGTCTGACCCATGGGGATGGGCTGGGGACCAGAACCTATAATAAAGAGCACCGCCCTTATGCAGACTCTATGTCATAGAGGCCCCAGCTGCCCTGGCCAGTAGTGCCCTCAGGCACACTACAGAAGCTCCCTGTGCCCATGGGGCCTTCTCAGCTTGCCCGTGCCCCTCGGCCCCGGGGTTTAAGATTCCGCTACCGCAGGCCAGGGATGGGCTGGCCTAGGCCTCGATTTCCCAGGATGTTCAAGTGTAGCCGTAGAAGGTATCGGCAGAAACCCCAAGGCCGAACTCCTACCACTGCAGCCACCAATTTTGCCACCCTGGCCACAGATATCAACAACACTCACACCGTCACCACCACCAGTGTGTGGATCCTTCCACCACCAGGTTAGCCAAGGGCCCTGAGGCAGGGTGGGGGGGTTGGCAAAACAGAGCCATTAGTTTTCCCCCACTTTAGCCCTGCATAGGCATTCTAGGAGGCACACTCTGTGAGAAATACCACCCCAAAAGTATGGTGGGGTCTTGATAGCAGACATCCTAAAGGCTCAGAGCCTTAATGGAAGGCATATTGACTAAAAGCAGAGGGCTTGGGGGACTGTGAATCTAAGAGCAGTAGAGCTTCCAGAACTTCTGTCTTCCTCACACTCTTCCCTTTCCTTCTTCTCCTTAGTTCTCAGACACCTCTGTCAACCTGGCAGCTTTCTGATCTTCTAGAAATGTCCAGAAACTAGTCCAGAAGCTTGGCTATCTCCGGACCTGTATCTCCTAAGGGCCCTGGGTGGTTAACAGCAGACAAATACAATCAATTCTGCTCCAACTGCCTTACTCCATTCCAAGGTGTTTCCAGATAAATATGCAGCAGGGTATGAGGGCAGGGTTGGGGCTGAATGCTCCCGGGGCGGGTTTTAGTGACAACAGCAGGGATCACAGTTTGGCAATGGAAGGACAGGACAGGGTCGGCAACACACACCATTTCTCCATCTTTGGCCTCAGCTTTTGATCTGCCCTGGGAGGTAGGGATCCTTCCTGCACTGCACAGGGAAAAGGGTCTCCATAGACATCTTGGAAGTTATAGGGAGCCAGATCCTTGAGGAGGGAGGTAGAGGCACAGATCAGAAAGAGATAGGATGAAAGAGATTTCACTACTTGAGTGTAACTCCACGAGTGCTTGAATGTGAGATGTTATGTGGCTCTGTGCCTATGATGGCCAGTGTGCAGAAGTAGCTGTTGGTGTGTGTGTCTGAGTGTGTGTGGAGATGGGAGTCTGAGCAGACATGTGGCTGAGTGTGCCTCTGCAATAGATTGTGACTTTGTGGCCAGCTGTGTGTCGAGGGTAAGGCTACTGGTGTGCCAGACAGAGGCTTCAGCTAAGAGGAATGAAGGTCAGGAGAGAGGGTGAGGGGCAGCCTGAAGGAGGAGAGGGTTGCTTCTGAGGAGGACTGGTCACCTTCAGCCCCCTAGCTGTTCCCCGAGGCCAGTGTTTTCCAGGACTGTCAGCTGAGCTGCGGTGGTTAGGGGTGGGGCAAGACTGAGTTTGAGTCCAGAAAGGGGGAGGGTGTTAAGCACTCTGGCCTGGGGATTTTCCATTTGGATTTCTGAGTGTGTGCCCATGTGTCATCAGGTGTAACTGCATTTCTGTGGGGTGTATCTCCATGGAATTGTGTCTCAGTGGTGGGAAACGTTGTGAGGGACTCGGTCTCTGAGGTGTCACTTTATGCCTGGGTGTGTGTCCAGGGCTCCCTTCCCTGAGGGGTGGGGGTGAGAGTGAAGTCTGAGAGCTTTGGCCTGGCCTCCTGGGGTTTAAGAAGCCTGTGAGGAAAAAATGAACTGTGTCTGTGTCCTTCCACTCTAAGGCTTGCCGGAGACTGGGACCCTGAGAGGAGGAAGCGGCAGAGAATTCACTGACACATCATGCCCAGACAGTGCTGGCTGGGGTGGGGGGAAGGGGGAGGCAGGAAGGTGGCTGGGCTAGCGCCCAAGGTCCACAGAGGGGCCCACACATATAAAGACACATGCCACAGTCCATGAACATATGCAGACATGTAAATATAAGTAGACTCACAGACACACAAAGCAACAAACACAGGTGCATGCAAGTACATACTTATAAACAGAGATAAACACTGACACTAACGCACATGGCCCTCCCCACATGGCATATGTAACAGCACATACACATGCCTACAAATGAACACACAGACATGCATGCATCTGGAAAAGCACATAAGCATATAGATAGAAACATGCAATAACACTCATGCAAACCCAGGCACACGTAGACACCTGCACACATGCAGACACACTCACCAGACTTCCCTGCCCCTGCAGCCCAGGAACCCAGAAGCTTCCCTCCCCTAGCAGAGTGTGTGTGTGTGTGTGTGTGTGTGTGTGTGTGTGTGTGTATGTATGTATGTGTGTGTGTGTGTGTGTATGCCCACACTTGTGTCTGTGTGTATCTGTGTCTGTTAGGATGTGTGTGTATGTGTGTGAGTGAGGGGGGTGCTGAGCTGTGGGAACCTGATGACATCATCTCTTCTGGCTATTTTTAGCTCCCTCTGCAATGACGGGCTTCTCCGCGGCCCCTCCCCCTCCAGGCTCCCAGAGGCAGCTGCAGCCAGAGGGCACCCACCACTCCAGTCTAGGTGACCCTTGGATGACTGGGTACAGCTCACTCATTCTCACCCCAGCAGGGCTCCCTGGAGGTTGAGAACCCCAGAGGAAGAGGCCTGGGCCATGTGGCAGCCTGGAGCAGGAGCCTGGTTAGGTGAGCACACCCAGCTGGTCTCCAGCCCCTAGGGTGCCTCTGCTTCTGCTTTTCAGTCTGAAACTCTGTCTCAGGCAGTAGTGCCTGCCATGTGCCAGGGAGGGTGCCAAGTCTGGAGATAGAGCAGTGTGCAAGACAGCAGGAGTTCTTCCTGGTGGGTGTTACAGCTCGGTGGGAGACAGACATTAAACAGACCACACAGGCACCACACCAAACTGTGGCAAGAACTCTGAACATTAGTAACAAGGGGACTCAGTCCGGGATGATGGATGTTCTCTGTCTCTTTCTGTCTCATGAGATAGCCTGAGGACACCAGAGGGGCACCCTCCTTTACCTTGCACCTTCTACCCCAACAAGCACACTCCAGAACAGAGCTTCCTTCTCACACCCCAGGCTGTGCTTCCAACATTGCACCAACCCACCACCCAAGTGGGGAGCCACTGTTATTCATGGCCCCTTTGTTCTGGAGCCTCCTCACAGTTGACCCCTGGGAGTCAGGCCAGTCCTTAGTCCTCCATCTGCAGATGAGAAAACTGAAACAGAGAGGGGCAGTGCTGGACCACACCTCCCGGTGCTGGGCAGGGGAGACTGCAGGCTGACAGAGGAGGAAGTGGTGGTGGCACAGCTCCGACTAAGAGCAAGTGGTGGGGGCAGAAGGGCAGGAGGAAGAGGACAGTGGCCTGAGGGGTCCCAGCCCAGAGAAGGCTTCCCGCTCCAGCCAGCTTCTGGGCAGCCACCGGAAAATCGGGTTTGGCAGCTTCAGCCAAGCGCCTGGGGGCTGGAGGAGGGGTCCAGACAGCTCTGGGGAGGCTGCCTGGGGGCGGGCCCGTCCTCCATCCCAGAGTCCGGCCAAGCTGTCCTGTTGTGGGAGCATTTTGTAAAACTGGGACCTTTTAGAGTGTTGGGAGAACAGCTCTGGGCTGCAAGCTGGAGCTCAGAATTCCAGTCCTTGCTCTGTCCCAAACCCTAGTGTGATCCTTGGAAAGTCCTGTCCCCTTTCTTGGCCTCAGGTGGCCCTCCCAGGAAGGACCCCTGGAGGATCAGGTTCCCCATCCCCAATTTCTGCCCTCTGGGTTTTCCTGGGAGTCTGAGTCAGGCACAGAAACACAAAGTCAATGGGTAGGGACCAGACCAGACCACTCCCAGGGCGCCAGGCTGGAGGTCCCTTGTCACCAATGGGTCAATGGCAGGAAGCCCAGCTCCAGCCTTACAATGCAATACCGGTCACCCCACCCTGACCAGTACCCTCACCCACACCCCCACTTCCGTCCTCTGTTCCTTCCTCACCTTCGGAGAAAGCTACAGGGCTCCCTAGGGAATCTCCCATACTTACTTCATTGGCTACCTGCCCAGCCCTGTACTCAGCCCTCCCTCCCCCTCTGCCCATTGGCTGGGCCAGCCTCCCTGTTAACTTTCTTTCCCGGATCCTGGGGCGGGGCAGGCCAGGGAGGAAAGGAAGCTGGGTGGAAGGGCTGCAAAGGAGCCTGCTTTTCCTGCTACACTCAAATACTTGCAGCCCAAATGACTTGGGGGGAGGAAGGTGGACTGAATGCTGGGCTGCCCTGAAGCCCCAGGGGAAGTGGGAATGTTACCTTTACCTATCTAATCATCTCCTTCCCTGCCTTCAGTGAATTCAGAGAAGGGAGCCCAGAACTGAGACTTCCATCCTGTGGAAAACACACAGAAACCCAGGACAAGTGAATCCTGGTTATTGTCACTAAGTCAATGACAAATTCATGAAACACAAAAAAACATAAAATTCTAAATGCATAGAATCCAGAGTCATGGAATCTTAGCATCACAGAATTCTAGCATGGTGAAATCTGAGTTACAGAATCAGGAATATAGAATTCTGGCATCACTGACTCCCAGATCACAAGGTTAGAGTATCCTTGAATTAGAAGTCTTGAGAAATCAATTAGTGAAATCCTTACCTTCAGGTGAATGTCTAAACTAGAGGATTCCTGGGTACCTGAGTGGCTCAGTCCATTAAGCCTCTGACTCTTGATTTCAGCTCAGGTCATGATCTCTCAGTTTGTGGGTTTGAGTCCCACATGGGGCTCTGTGCTGATGTGCAGAGCCTGCTTGGGATTTGCTCTCTCTCCCTCTCTCTGCCCATTCTCTCTCTCTCTCTCTCTCTCTCTCTCTCTCAAAATAAATGAACTTAAAAAATAAAATAAATAAACTAGAGGTTCCCCCATTGGGGATGGGCAAAGGAGTTCACACATGAACACTAAGAAGGAGGCGGAGAGGTCAGGACATATGAGCTTAGGATAAGTTAAGAAGCCTGTAATAAACCAGACAGAGGACAGACAACTTCCAAGAGGACATATCTTGGTTCCTGAGGATGAGGGGGATGGGGTGGCAGGAGAGGGAGAGAGAGAGGGGAACTAGAAGAAGAAGAAGAAGAAGAAGAAGAAGAAGAAGAAGAAGAAGAAGAAAACCTAGCCTAGAGAAAAAATTATCAAGTCGCAAGTACACCAGCCACAATGCCCCTGATTTCTCCAAGAGTGGGAATAACACCAGCCCCAAGACATTTTCAAAGGTTAGTAATGGAATGGCAAGCCACGTCTGACTTTTTTGGGAAGAAAAGTACTAAGTAGAAAATATTTCATATACCACAATTTCTTGGGGCTGCTGGGAACAGCAGACTCTCCAAAGAAGATGCTGAGCCGTGAACAAGATCATGCTGTGGGGTGGGGTGGGGTGCAGAGCCCCTAGCAAGGCCTTGGTAAGGGACCTTGTGGAGGGCATCTGCCTGGGGTGGTGCTGGGAGAAGTATCTCCGAAGAAGGAGCCAAAGTTGAGGCAGCACTTGGTATGGGGACTCTTGTCAGTATGGGAACTCAGTAAACAACAGGGATATTTACCTAGCATTTCTGGGAAACTACTGCAAACTCAGGAACCCAGAAGGAGCAGTTCCAGAGAGAGGCAAATGCCAAGCCCTTCTG